ACATTTGCTAAAGGCTGTTAGGATTAATTTTGACAACACAAAATAAATTTTAGCAGAATCTCAGAAAACACACAACTATTCCTGATTATAATCTAGAATGTCATTTCTTCTGATTATTTTTACAAAGTAGCACATTTAACTGAAAATTTCTTCAGAAAGTGCCTTTTAAAGGACTTTTTTCTTTTGCAGTACTGGGGGCTTGAACTCAGGGCCTACACCTTGAGCCACTCCACCAGCCCATTGTTTTGGTGAATGGATTTTTTAGAGAGAAGGTCTCACAGAACTATTTGCTCGGTCTGGCTTTGAACCGTGATTCTCCTGATCTCTACCTCCTGAGTAGCTAGGATTACAGGTGTGAGCCACCAGTGCCCGGCTCCTAGGGCTTTTAATGTAAAATAAAGGCTGATGTTCAAGTGCAGTTTATTAGAGGCAGTTTTGTCAGAGGCAAACAGAGTTAAGATCCAAGGCTTTACCTATCCATTGACCTGCTTTCATCAGAAATAGGTTGTGAATGTTTAGAACAATTTCCTTCAGGTAGCCCTTTGTGTCCCAAGGCCACCCTCAGATTTAATAATTCACTAAGAGGCCTCACAGGACTGAGCATATAATTGTACTTATGGCTATGATTTATTATGGCAGAAAGATGCAATGTAAAATGTTACAAATGGAAAAAAAATGCACATGGGGCAAAATCCAGGAAACCAGGTGCAGGCTTCCAGGGGCCTCCCCAGTCATCACACAGGATCCCAGCAAGGAGATGTGACCACGTGTGTGAAGTGAATCTAATGAATGAAAACTCAGTAGATACTCAGTGCCCAGGATGGTCATGTAGGCCCTCTTGCCTGGCATATCCTAAAAACTCCAGACTCCCAGAAAGAAAACAGGTGTTTAATATAAACCACATTGTTTGTACTCATAGTTTAGGCATAGTAAACCACCCCTATCACTTCTGGGAAGGATGGGAAACCTTCTGAAATCTAAGTTCTCAGATGCCAGACAAAGACTGAGCATGTAAGCAGACCTCTTTTAAGGGATAAGAATTGAAGCCAGCTATGTTAAACTTTTCTGCTGAAGTCCAAAATACAAGTATTATTTTTTCTTTCTTTCTTTTGTTTTTTTTGGCGATACTGGGTTTTGAACTCAGGGCCTTGTGCTTGCTAGGCAGGCATTCTACCACTTGAGTCATGCCATAGCCCAAAATATTATTTCTTTAAAATTTCTTTTGAGAAAAAAAGAAATGGGAACAAGTTTAAGATTTTACTTTGACAAATACACTGTTGGTTTGTTGTCAGATACAACCCATGTGTCTTAACAAGCATCTGGTAGTGAAATTCAAAGAGCCTGACAAAGACTCATACCTGAATAGAAGGCCACTACTTCTTTGCAAGACAGTACCTAGGTGTGCCCAGTGGAAAATCTTTAGAAACCTGTTTTTAATATCCCTCTATACATGTCACAACATGACCCTCATCCTGCTCCCAGGTTAACTAGTGGATCTTTTTCTATTGTTACACTTTCCTTTCATGTAAATAGAAACAATCTGTAGATTTTTTGTTTTGACTTCTTTCACATCAATGTAATATACTTTGTGGTACTGGGGTTTGAACTCAGGGCCTCCCACTTGCTAGGTAGGCATTCTACAATTGAGCTTCACCTCCAGCCTGACATTAACATAATACTCTTGAGATCCATCCATGTCATTGTATGTATCAGTAGTTGTTTCTTTTTATTAGTGAATAGTAGTCTATGGTCTGTATATCACATTTTATTTACCCATTTAGCAGCTGAAGGACATTTGGGTTGTTCCTATTTGGGGGTTGTCAATGAATAATGTTATGCACATTCATGTACAAGTCTCTGTGAACATAAGTTTGCATTTCTCATCAATAGATAACTTAGGAGTAGGATTGTTTTTCTGGTTTGGATTTTTTTCCCTGTGTTGAGATTAAACCCAGAAGCTCACATATGCTAGGCAAACACTACACTGAGTATACTTAAATCAGCAGAAGTAGAATTGTTGAGTCTTGAGAAGCTACTAAACTCTTTTCTTTATTTTTATTTATTTATCTATTTACTTTTTGTGGCACTGGGGTTTGAACTGAGGCCTCACGCTTGCTAGGCAGGCACTATACTGCTTGAGCCATTCTGCCAGCCCTTTTTTTGTGTTGGGTATTTTTAAGGATTGGCTTCAAATCATGATCCACCTGATCTCTGCCTCCTGAGTAGCTAGGATTACAGGTGTGAGCCATGGGCACCTGACCTATACTCTTTTCTAAAGTGCTATATTGTTCTTTTTCATAATTATTTTGACTATTTTAGGTGCCTTGGATTTTCATGTAAATTTTAGAATTGGCTTACCAATTTCCTTTAAAAAAATTCTAAAATTTTGTTTGGGATTAAATCTCTGAGTCAATTTGGAGAGAATCAGCATCTTAATAATATTGGGTATTCTTTTTTTTAAAAAATGAACCGCGTTCACAAATTTGCATGTCATCCTTGTGCAGAGAACATGCTAATCTCCATGTCGTTCCAGTTTTAGTGGATGTGCTATCAAAGTGAGCATAATACGGAGTATTCTAACCTGTGACTGTTGGGATTGGAGGAGTGGCTCAAGGGTAGAGCACCTGCCTAGCAAGTGTGAGGCCCTGAGTTCAAGCCCCAGTACCACCAAAAAAAGAGGTTACTAACCTGCGAATATGTTATAGCTTATCACATCCTCTTTAGTTCTTAGCAGTTGTTATCATTTTAGGTGTATATTAAATTAAATTTATTAATTAAATTAATATTATTCTAACCATTTTATTTTTTGTCGATATTGTAAATGGTATTGCTTTATTATACAGAAATGGGGCTTTGTAATACACTTTTTTGTTTTTTTTCCATACAGGGTCTCACTATGTAGTTCAGGCTGGCCTTGCACCCTCAATTCTCTGCCTTAGCAGAAGAGGAATGCACTACAAGACCCAGCTTGGACCTTGTTTCTAAATTTATTTATTATATATTTATTTACTTTATTTTTGGTGGGATTGGGGTTTGAACTCAGGCCTATGTACTTGCAAAGCAGGTCTCGCAAGCAGGTCTCACAAGGGATACTAGTGCCAGCTGCTGGTGGGTGCACACCTAATCCTACTACTCAAGGAGGCAGAGATCTGGAAGATCACAGTGTGAAGCCAGCCCTGGCTTTAGTTCTCAAAGACCTAGCTTCGAAAATTCCCAATACAAAAAAAGAGGTGTGAAGTGGTTGAGCGGTGGAGTACTTGCCTGAAAGTTGAGGCTCTGAGTTCAAACCCCAGTACGCACCAAAAAACCCAAAGTAGACTTTCTACCAATTGAATCATACTTCCAGTCTATTTTCTCTGTTTATTTTGGAGATGGGGGCCTGCTAACTGCTCAGGCTGGCCTCGAAACACCATCCTCCTGATCTCAAGCCTCCCAAGTAGCTCCTGACCTGTTTGGTTTTTTTGAGGCAGAGTATTGCTGTGTAGTGAGGCTGGCCTTGAACTTGTGATCTTCCTGCCTCAGCCTCCTGAGTGCTGGATTACATGTGCATGCCATCAAGCCTGACTCCAAACTCTCTTTTCACAGAGAAATTGCAGTTTCAGAATGTACTTGGCAAAGTATGTCCAGGTTTGTCATCAAAATTCTCTAAGGAATATTTAGTGCCTAGCCACTTAGAGGTCTCAGTGTGAAACTTTGAATGGTAGACCCATAGTAAGTTTTGTTTTGTTTTGTTTTGTTTTTTGTGGTGCTGGATCAAACCCAGGACTTGTACATGCTAGATAAGTGCCTTTACACTGAGCTAAACCCGCCAGTCCATGGTAACTTTTTCTTTTTTTTTTTTTTTTGGTGGTACTAGTGTTTGAACTCATGGGCTTCATGCTGTGTAGTCAAGGCAGTGTCTCGCAGCTTGAGGCCACTCCACTAGCCCTTTTTCATGCTGTATTTTCAAGAGGTGAGTCTTGGGAACTATTTGGCTGGACTGCGGTCGAACCATGATCCTCCTGAGTAGCTAGGATGTACAGGTGTGAGCCACCAGCAGTATTTTTTTTTCAAAAGCTATTTCTATAAAAAGAGATGTAAACTAACGCCAATCTATTTTCTATTTTCCTTGTGAGTTTAAGGTTTTTGAAATGAATTAAGTCTACAATTACGAACTCATGTGTTTTCTTGAAGTAAACCGAAGCGAATTAGGGTAGTGTTTCCATTCTTCTGGCTTTTACTTTTTACTTTTCTGAGAAACTAAAGTGTTTTTAATGTGATGCTCAGAATCGTGGAGAAGTAAGGGAGTATAGGAAGTAAGGCAGGTCCTGCAGCCTCTACTCCGTAAGAAAAGAGCTTAGGAGGAGGCTGGATACAGACAAAGTGTATTGTCTGATGGAAAAAGAAACGGAAGAGGGTCTTATTTTATGAATGGGTATCAGCAGACATTAGATGAGTTGATGGCAAGTTCAGATAGTAGAAGACATAGCTGCTAATGATCGCCCCACCTCTGCTTTGGATGAGTTTATGTTTTTTTAAAATCAGTATCAAATTAAAAAAATTACTGGAACACTTTTTTCTAAATATAATCATATATTAATTGGAGAGTTTTTAAAAACTGGACATGAGGGAACATTTATTGTATAGCTCAATACTTAAGGTAGCCTAAATGACCTTAAGAACAGTATACTGAACTTAACTCTTTCAAACAGGTTTTTGTAAAAAAGATCCTACTTTTTTTTTACCAAGTGCTTAGTTTTCTAAGTGCGAGTAGTAATTATTTTAAGTTTTTACTAGTATGTAAATCCTATGAAAACACAAATTTACCACTGCCCTTCAAATGTTAAAGCACAAATTATATTTTGTGGTTTAATGCATGAGTTTTTATGTTAATTTTTTTTTTTATTTAAGCTGTTACTTTTTGAATTTGGAAAAAATTAGTACAGAAAAGGACGAGACGATTTTATAGCGCAATTTACAAATTCATGTTATGCAACTTGTATTAGAATATTCCTTAATTTTTCTTTTCCTGATATTGAGGGTGTATATAAGAACAGTTATATTATGAAGAGTAAACTTCAGTGTTAAGTAAGAGGAAACAAGTGAATTTCTTCTTAGCCTAAACTTTGTTCATGGAAAGAATGCCTCCGGCGCAAACTTCAACACCATTCTTAAGGTGAAACATAATCTTGATGCGCCTTGCTTTTAAGTATGAGCTACTTTCCTATTTAACTTAGCCTGATTCAGGTGAAACCAGGACCACTGATCAGTATGATAGAAATGTAATCCTCTTTTGAAATGGGCCAGTAAAGTGAACTGTAGATTGATCCTGCTAGTCTGTGTCCTTGTGAACTGTGTAGGAGAAAAGTAAGTGCTGATGTATTTTAGAAACTCTGTGGGTAAAACATTCAGCTTGCTGTGGTTTCCTTTTAAAAACTAATGAGGCTTGTAAAAAACTATTTCATTCCCATTTTCTGTGTTTTTATTCCAATAATACTTTTCAGATTGGCATTAATGATCAAAGGTATCTATAATCAATGGCTAGGGAATGAGTAAGATGGAACCAAAGGTAATTTTATGTAGGGAAATAAAAAACATTCTTTGTTATTAGGGCCAGTGCCATGTATTTCTCCTCTATGGTATTTAAGGATTAGTCATCCTTTTGCCTAAAGTTAGGTAAAGAGAAATAGAGAAAGGAATTAGTCTACTTTTAGTGGATTTTAAGATAGTTTTCAAAACTTTTCCATAGAAATAAATCCTAACTGTACTGCATGATTCTGGTTTTTTTAGTCATGGTTTTAATCTTTCTATCTAAAGCGGGATAGCTAATTCACTATGGCTTGGAAGAAATACTAATTCTCTTTGGGGTTTTCCTCTTTAGCGGTGGGTCTCGGAAAAGTTCATTGTTGAGGGCTTAAGAGATTTGGAACATTTGGAGGGTAAGTACAATATGGCACTCAGCCGCATTTTAGGATAATTATCACTATTCTTTTATTGACTAGATCAGTTTTAGAAATTAGTAATTTTAAAAGCAAGTGTAAACTACAATTGTTAGCTTTGGCTTCTTTTTTTAATCCATTGTTCCCCAAAGATTTGGGAAATAATCTAGCAGTTGTCCTTGGCTTGTGTTGATTTTTAGGAAGCCAATTATACAGTGTTTACTTCTTAGTATTTGTCCAGTTGAAAATACATATTGTTAAAGGAAAAAAGCTAAGTGTTAAAAGTCTCTAGACTTGAAGATTTTAAGAATAAAATAATAGATCAAGACAAAGTACTAATGATGTGAAAGTTCTGATTTTACTGATCCATCTACTTTTTTACTCATTTTGACTCATTTTTTTACATGGTAGAAATGAGACTTAAGAGAGCTAAGGAAAAAATCCATCAGGGCAAAAAATATTAACTTCCTATTGTAACATGTAGGTGTTCAATTCAGAAGTAAAGTAGCTTTACAACTTTGAGACTTAACAGGCCTAGGCATTTCTTTTCAGCCATTTTCACTTCTTTTTTTTGGTGGCATGGGGTTTGAACTTAGGGTCTCATGCTTGCTAGGCAGGTACTCTTAACTGCTTGAGCCACTATATCAGCCCTTTACAGCCATTTGTAAAGTGAGACTTTTTGGAAATGATGATCTTAATTCAGGACAAAGAAAATCCTTTCTATAAAAATAATAGTAGTAGGTCTGGATTCTTTGTGTCTGATATCATGCTAATCTCTTGGGACCCTATAGCTAAATAAATAGGTTATCAGGTAGAGTACATTGGTTGACTGATCACAGTATCCCCAAACAGGCTAAGTAATTGAAAACTCAAACTTAACTAATTACTAGATGATATTGAATTTATTTTCCTTAATGCATCTCAAAGAAATTCTGTAGTTTATTTGTAAACAAATTAGAGTTTAGGAAAATGATCAGTTCTTTCTGTTTTAAAGAATAGAAATTAGCTGGACAGTAAAAATTAATGGAATAAAAATATTATGTTCTGTTCTTATTCTCATTTTCCCCATCATTAGGGAATAAAAGTAAACATTGCACTGGTAGAAAGTGAGTTGCAAGTATGGCTTACAGTTAATTCATTGCAAATATTTCAGGATATTTGAATTGAATGAGTAGGTTTTATATCTAGTGTTTTGACTATAATATCTCTAGCTATCTTTTGACAGTGCCCTAGTCTCTGATTGGAAGAGGGTGAAGAGGTTGTTTTGCATATTATTATTAATCTTTAACAATCTTTTTTTTTTTTTTTGGTGGGACTGGGGTTTGAGTTCATGGCTTCACACTTGCAGAACTATTTTCCCAGGCTGGCCTAGAGTCTCGATCTTCCCGATCTCAGCCTCCCTAATACCTAGGATTATAGGCTTGAGACACTGGCACCTGGCTTGACAGACTGTCTTTCTGTCTATCAGAAAACTGATGTCCAAGGGAGAGCAATTCCTATTTTGATAAGTTGAGGCTTATTTACTGTGCAGTGTAGTTGCTAGCAATGTAGTTGAATGTTGAATGCTGTCAGGTCTTACAAGAAAACATTTTCCTTGGTGACTAGACTTACATCTGATTTTGTATAGTTTAAAATATTTAGAAAATATAAAGCCACCTCAGTACTTTATAGTTCAAAAGCTTCTCTTGAATGAATCACCTCTTGATGACTTTTTTCTTTGTTTGCTTGTTTCTGCTTGCCGAGAATCAACTCCAGGGTCACACATACTGAACAGGCCCTCTACCACTAAGCCACACACCCAAATTCCACTTTATGATTTTTATCACTTTTACATAGTGGGGAAAAGTGAAAGCATAGACAGAATTTGTGTGATCCAAGAACAGGAAATTTGCCTGGTGAAGTGGCTCAAGTGGTAGAGCATCTGCCTAGCAAGCATGAGGCCCTGAGTTCAAACCCCAGTACTGCCAAGACAAAGAAACAAAAAACAAAAACAGGCAGTTATTTCAGTTGTCCTGTGATTTGTTCATTTTCACTATGAATAGATGAGTGCCAAAAAGGCCTTGTTTATTTGCATTCAAAATAGAATGTACCTGACTTTGGAGAATCATATTAAGTAATGACCCCTTATGTGTACGTAGCTATGCTAAACACTTTTTGCCTTCAAAACAAAACAAAAGCACTCTTTTTTCCCCCTACACTCCCAGGGAAATAGCCAACAATCTCTATGATTTTAAAATGAATTTTGGGAGCTAGGGGTATAGCTCAGTGGTAGAGTGCTTGTCTAGCACATGCGAGGGTCTGGGTTTAATGGGGGGAGGGAGGGAGAACAGAAGGAAGGTAGGAGATGAACTTTTGGTTCACAAAGTATAAGAGTCCTGAAACATTGTATGTTGTGCTGATGACAAGTAAATGTTGGCCAGAACTACAGTGGTTGTGTCATGGGGCCATAAGTGGCTCATGGGGCCGTAAGTGGCTTTGGACTCTTGGTTAAAACTCCATCTAACTCCAGCATTTCACCATGGGTCTCTGTGCATGTGTTTATGTGTCGCACTGTAGGCAGCTTATTGCTGTAATGACTCTTAAGTGGTTTCTATTAATAAATGTAGTCAAAGTGTAATCATTGCTGTTCTGAATGTGGGTGTGTCTGCTGCTAAACAACAAAATGCCAACAATCAATTTCTCTACTCCAGAGCAGCCTCCGGGTGACACTCGGAGAAAAGTAAGTGACTTTCTAGGCTCTAGCACTGTGGCTGTTGCATGGAGATGACTTCTTGTGGAAATTTGTGTGTTTTGTTGGCTTATCATTTTATGTTTCTGCTTCTCTGTCATTGAGCTGTATTTGTAGTATAATTCTTTTACTCAAAGGGACTCAGGTTTCACCCTGGAAAGACTCTGATGTGTAGTTTGAAAAGCAAAAAGGTCTCAGGCACTTCTAATTTTCTTTTGAGGATGAAGGTCTCCTCCTCTTCTCAGCCTTCCTCAATTACCCACCATACTGTCTCTCCCCAAAATAAGTTTCACCAATCTGAAATGCAATTATCTTTTAATGGCTGGTTCTAATTTCTTCCTCCCTTAGTCTATTCATAATAGATTTTAGTCCACAGACATAATACAGATCTCTTTCCAGATCATAAGTCCTCAAGTCTGCTACCTAGAAAACAAAAGCAAATTAAAAAGTACAAAACAGAGCCGAGTGTACTGATACACACTTGTAATCCAGCATAAGGGAGATGGTGGCAGGAGGATGGCAAATTTGAGGCCAGCCTGGGCTACATAGCATGACTCTGTCTCAAAAAATCAAAATAAAAAAATAAGTAAATAAATAAAACACAGCACTTGGGAGGCTGAGGCAGGAGGAGCATAAACTTGAAGCCAGCCTGGGCTCCATCGCTGGATCTTTCTGAAGCGCTACCTCTCACCCACCCCACCCCTAAAAATACAAAACAGAAAATTTACTTTTTCCATTATCAGAAGCCGCAAGACTCTTCCTGTGCTTCCTCCTCTTCTGGTTTATTTTACCTTAGTAAATAGCACCAGATGCACACAGTGTACCAAACTATTTTGGAAAATGTGAGTCTGTGTCTTATACAGAGAGAGGATGAGAACGGTTTTCTAAGTGGACTCCTCACTCTGTACCTTTTGCAGGCAGTCACAAGTCTGAGTGGAGGATGATGAGGGGGACTAGGAATTTCTCTGTGAGTAAAACCTTGACTGTGTTTATGTATTCTGCTAATCAAGAGCACTTCTTCATCAGATCCAAATGTTTTCCATTCAACAGACTGAAAACGTTTCCTAGATAGTCAACTAGTTTGTTTTTTTGGACTACAGTACCAATTACATAGAATTTTCATTTATTCACAGTTGTTGATGTTATACCAAAACTATCCTGTGTGAAACCTGTGGAAAGTTGAATGTGTTTATCTGGTAGCATTTCATAAATATCATCTTTGTATGCTTTATTGTATTTTGTTTGAAACTTTTTAAACAAAGTTATCATTTTATCGTCTTTTCTGGATGTCAGTAGCTTATGCATTTTTCAGTTGCTTCAAAATGAATGAAATGCTTTTCATGATGTGGGAAAGTAAGAAAAAACTTTAGTGGGATCAGTTTCTTTCCTTGAGCAATTTGAGATTATACATTACAGTAATAAAACTATGCCATTCTGTGTTTAAAAAAAATGGGCTAAATATTTTACTCTTTTCATCTGAATTTAGACTTTAAAAAATCTGAAGCAGTATATGGACTAACATCCCTTTCTTGTGTCAGTCTCAGACCAGACCTCTTCCTGTCAGTGTACTGCCTTTGTTTCCTGATTTGTTTGTTTGCTTTCCTAAATAAAAGTTGGTGTCTCAAGCTGGGTGCTAGTGGCTAGTGGCTCACGCCTGTAATGCTAGCTACTCAGGAACCAGATATCAGGAGACCAGCTCCGGCAATAAAAGCGAGACCCTATCTTGAAAATACCCAACACAAAAACGGCTGGCAGAGTGGCTAAACCCCAATACCACCAAAAAAAAAAAAAAAAGTTGGTGTCTCTGATCTGTAGAATTGCCACAGAGTAGAAAGCCTCCATTTTGGGGTTGTTTCCAGTGAGTTGGGGACAAAGTGATGGAGAAGCCCCAGCAACCACTGGGTTAAGTTCATTTCATGCAATTCCAGATTGCCCATGAGTTCATATTCCCAGTTACCTAAAGAATTGTTCTTTTCTTTTCTTTCTTGTTTTTTTTTCTTGCCAGTACTGGGATTTGAACTCAGGGCCTACACGTTGAGCCACTCCACCAGCCCTTTTTTGTGAAGGTTTTTTTTTTTTTTTTTAAGATAGGGTACCTCTCACTATTTACCAGGTCTGGCTTTGAACCTTGATCCTCCTGATCTCTGAATAGCTAGGATTATAGGCATGAGTCATTGATGCCCAGCTAAGAATTTTATTTTCTAAAACACACTTTGGAGCAGTTTTCTATACTATTAGATAGTTACTAAGCACATTAATAATTTTTAAAGA